AAATTATGGCACCGGAGATTAGGTCATATCTCCATAGATAGAATTAAAAGATTAGTAAATAAAGGAGTACTTAATACTCTGGATTTTACTAATTTTGAGACTTGTGTGGACTATATAAATGGAAAGCAGACCAACAAGTCAAAGAAATGTGCCAATAGGAGTTCAGACATATTAGAGATCATACATACTGATATATGTAGTCCAGACATGGACTCACATGGTCAAAAATATTTCATCTCCTTTATAGATGATTACTCACGATATATGTATCTCTACATGTTTCATAACAAATATGAAACATTAGATGCCATTTGAATTATGGAAAGGTTGGAAACCGAGTTTGCCACATATGCGCATTTGGGGATGCCTGTCTGAGATGAGAATTTATAATCCACAAGAGAAGAAGCTGGACCCAAGGACCATTACTGGGTATTTCATTGGATATGCTGAAAGGTATAAACATTACAGATTTTATTGTCCATCTCATAGCACTAGGATTGTGGAATCAAGAAATGCAAAGTTTCTTGAAAATGACTTGATCAGTGGGAGCGATCAAACTAGGAACATAGTTTCTGAGAATGATCATTCAGAATCTCAACCTTCCACCTCAAGTGATAAATTGGTTATTGTTTACAGCACCCCTCAAGTACAAAATGGTGCTGAACAACCAATCATTGAAGTTCCACAAGCTGCTGACAACATTCCAGTAATCAGGTAGTTCGAGAGTTGCCAAGAACTTTTGAACAACGAGTTGAACCACATACTTCTCCGGAATATGATGGTACAACATTAAGAAGATCTACTAGACCAAGAAGATCAACAATTCCTAATGATTATGTTGTGTATCCACAAGAATCTACCAATAACATTAGAGCCGAAAATGATCCCGAGTTCTTTTCACAAGCCATGAGTTGCAAAGAATCTGAATTATGGTACAGTGCCATGAAGAAAGAGATGAATTCTATGAAGAGTAATGAAGTTTGAGATCTTGTTGAGTTGCCTAATGGTGTAAAAGTCATTGGATGTAAATGGGTCTTTAAGACAAAAAAGGACTCATTGGGAAACATTGAGAGATACAAGGTAAGACTCGTTGCTAAGGGATTCACTCAGAAAAAAAGAATCGATTACATGAAAACTTTCTCTCTGTATCTAAGAAAGATTCTTTGCGTGTAATTTTGGCATTAGTAGCCTATTTTGACTTAAAGTTGCAACAAATGGATGTAAAAACGGCATTTCTCAATGGAGATCTAGAGGAGGAGGTTTATATGAAACAACCCAAAGGATTCCCCTCTACTGATGGTGAGCAATTGGTTTGCAAGCTCAAGAAATCCATATACGGTTTAAAACATGCATCCCACCAATGGTATTTGAAATTCCATAATGTAATTTCTTCATTCGGATTTGTAGAAAACGTTATGGATCAATGTATATACCAAAAGGTCAGTGGGAGTAAAATATGTTTTCTTGTTTTATTTGTGGATGACATTTTGCTAGCAATCAATGATAAGGGTTTGCTGCATGAGGTGAAACAATTCCTCTCTAAGAATTTTGATATGAAGGATATGGGTGACGTATCTTATGTCATTGGCATTAAGATCCATAGAGACAAATTTCGAGGTATTTTGGGTTTGTCTCAGGAAACCTATATTAATAAAGTTTTAAAGAGATTTCAGATGAAGGATTGTTCACCAAGTGTAGCTCCCATTGTGAATGGTGATAGGTTCAATTTGAACAAATGCCCAAATAACGACCTTGAAAGGGAACAAATGAAGAACATTCCATATGCTTCTGCTATCGGAAACCTAATGTATGCTCAAGTCTATACAAGACCTGACATTGCATTTGCTGTGGGAATGTTGGGACGATATCAGAGTAATCCAGGTTTAGACCACTGGAGAGTTGCAAAGAAAGTAATGAGGTGCCTTCAAGGAATCAAAGACTACATGCTTATGTATAGACGGACAGACAACTTGGAAGTAATTGGCTACTCAGATTCTGACTTTGCTGGTTGTATTGATTCACGCAAATCAACATCAGGATACATTTTTTTGATGGCCAGTGGAGTTGTATCATGGTGGAGTGCCAAGCAGACTTTGACTGCCACTTCCATTATGGAAGCTGAGTTCGTCTCTTGTTTTGAGGCTAGTTCATATGGTGTATGGCTTAAGAGTTTCATTTTTGGGCTTAGAATTATGGATTCTATCTCTAGGCCTTTGAGAATGTACTGCGACAATTCAACTGCTATTTTTATGGCTAAGAACAACAAAAGTAGGAGTCGAAGTAAACACATTGACATTAAGTATTTAGCCATAAGGGAATGTGTTAAAGAAAAGAAAGTTGTCATTGAGCACGTCAGAACTGAGCTAATGATCGCTGATCCTTTGACAAAGGGTATGCCACTATTGAAATTCAAGGATCATGTAGTGAATATGGGACTTGGTTCCATTATATAATTCTTAATTATTTTGACGTTTTTCTCATATTGATGTGCACCTTAATTTAATTTTGAGAAAATTCATCTATGTTGGACCAAGAATAAACATAGGGTTTATTCATTAAGAAATTGTTGCCACATAAATTATAATGTTTAAGAAATAAATACATAATAATACATGGAAGGTAATACTCGTCATTAGAGGACCTATCGCCATGATTCATGTATTTATTACTTAAATACAGATTATCGATGGGTTTAAGATGAAACATAAGATTAGAAGTGTGGACCAAGTGGGAGAATGTTGACCGTTTCTCACGGAGGCCGTTCGTAAGAATGAGTCTCCAGCTCCCCTTCATTTTAGGGGCACCTGAGTGGGCCACTCAGGTATTCATCACGTTCGTAGAACGTGGAATTGCCCCATGATAAACTAAACAAGTGGGACACGTGGCCGCCGAAGCTTGATAGAAGCCTTGGCTATAAATACAACAGTTTGGTCCCCAGACTCGATCACTCAATCCCCTTCAGTCTTACACCATCTAAATAGAGTGAGTAGAGTTTGGAAGTACCAAACATGAGTGAGAGATCGTAGCAAAACCGTGAGGAACATCAATGGCTGGAGGTATTGTTTCTTTGACATTAAGCTTTTCGATTCTGTTTTAAAGTATTTATTCCGCATTATAGAATCGTATTTATGCTTATGTGTATTTCACAAATGTTTATAAGAATTAAAATAAATTATTTTATGATTTACGAGAGAAGTTCGAAATTTTGAGCTTTTCTTATGAACTCTTTTTAAGCTTGTTTAAAACGTTAAACTTTCATAAATACTATTATTTTATTTTATAAATTTGACTTGATTTATTATTTTATATTAAAGTTATTTTCGGTGAATTTAAACTAGAAAACCCTTTTATATTTTTCAACCTAAACAGCTATCGGTTTTTTCACAAAAGTTTTACTCTTATGAGCTTTATTATATTAAGCTCTTATTTTATTTTTTATAACTTTTATTCAAAGAAACCGTATCAAACATATCCAAAATCTAATTGGGCACCTTAGAAGCCAATTGAGAAAATTATAAGGGCACTCTTAAAGTCAATTAGGTTGAAAATTATAAGTTTTTTATTGATTATATATCTATTTAATTGCTTTAATATCGATTTGTTAGTTGATTATATTCATTGAACTAACCTTGCTTGTTATGCTCTCGAATGTATTTATTGTTTCGTATTAATTACTCGTACTTGATTGACTATATTGATTATTGGTTTAATTAAAGTAAATTGAATTCATTGAATTGAATTGATTATTCATTTGCTATTATTGCTATGAATTAAATTTCAACTTATTTTGAAGTAAAATATTTAGGCATTATTTAAAAAAAAAAAAAAAAAAAAAAAAAACTAATTTCCTCTAGTTGTTTTAGTTCATAGAAGTATTAGACTGAATGAAGTTGTTAAAGCTCATCCGATCATTGTTTTAAAACTCAGCCCTGCTTGGTCGGTTAAACCGGTTTATGATGTTGGGGTTTTTAAAGAGGAAATGTCGGTGAGTGCAATAGTGACGACAAAGGTGATTTTCGATGAGTGAATCGACCAGAGATCGAAAAAAACTCGTTGCAACAACAACGACTTTTGCCAGCGATTGGCGAACGAGGGTGGGGTAAGATGAGTTTTGGTTAGGAGGTTAAGGGGGGTATTTTCGTGATAATGGGGAGGGTTGTTGACACCAACAATGGTAAGATCTAACTTGGGTTGTCAACGTTGGTGGTGGTGAGATCTCGATTTTGGCCAGGTATTGGATAGATTTTCTAGAGAATTGCTCAATGGATGATTGAGATTGCATTTGGTATGTCGTCACCACCAACTAGTCGACCGTCGATTTGTATTTGAGGTGTGTTTGTTAAATTTTAAACTTGTAAGAACTTAACGAATTTTATGAGTGTATTTGCTGAATTTTAAACTTTTAGACATCCGATTTGTTTAGCCAATCAAACTAGTTAAATCGATCAACCCAAGATCCAACAACTTTGTCAGGTTTCACCCCAAGTTAGATATTAAAACATTGCATCCATTATCCAAACAAAATTGTTCTACTTCATCAAACTATATATATACTTTAATGACAATAATAAAAGAAAAAAGATACACATAACATAAAAGATGTTAAGTTATAATATAATAATTATTATTATGTTTATATTAGTTTACATGTATTTAAATTAATATATTAATAATATAAAATTATAAATCGGATAAAAAATTTCATAACAAAACTTATTAGGACTATTAAAAATTATATAAATTAAATATTTTGAAGATTATATAAATTTAAATTCTCTATCGCTTTTTTACCTACTTATAATATAATTACTATTACACTTTCCTATTATATTTATATAAATTTATAATATAAAATCTTATACCTACTTATACATATATTAACTGATAATGTCCCGTCAATATCATGATCGTGTTACTGTCTTACTGAGCAACTCAATCAAAGTTGGTCGCTTCTAATTTCTAAATCCTCTCTCTCTCTCTCTCTTCTTTAGTGTCCCCCTCCAACACTCCCAATCCATAATAATTAAAGCTCCGCTCATTCAGCCCACGTGATTGATAATTGTCTGTAAACATCCTCTCCACTCTGCTGTTGTTCATTTACTCTACTCTACTTTTACTGTGTTGCACTTTACCCCCAATCTTCTTTTCCCAACCTTCACTTCTTCCCTTCCAATTTCAAGTTTCCCACTCACTCAAAGTCTAAAACCACCACCAAACCATTATTTATTAACTATTTCTTTCTAGATCTTCACCGTTTTCTAGGGTTTCTCAAATCATGCATGGCCTCAGCCGCCTCGGAACCGCCCGCTCCGTCAGCTCCACTACGGCGGCATCTCCGCCTTCCTCCCCTCGCTTCCGCCACGGACGCACCAAAAGCTCCGGCGGTGGAGGCAGCGGAGGTGTCGGCGGCGGCGGCGGGGCAGGATTTGGCGGGCGAGGCGCGAAGCAGAATTCAGTGGAGAAGTTGGTGCTTGTTTTGATTTCGGCTGTGTTCAAGCGGAAAGGCGTGCTTCTGTTGGCGCCGTTGTTGTATATATCTGTAATGTTGTTGTATATGGGTTCATTGGGGTTCGATGTTGTTGATTTGAAGAGTGTTGTTGTTGTGCATAAGCATGCGCCTCCTGGCTCCGTTTACAGAAGTCCGCAGGTCTTTGAGAAGCTTTGGCCGTTAATGGAGGCTGAAGCTAACGCCACCGACAATGCGGTACTCTCTTTTTGGGGAATCAGTTGTTTACTATTCTTTCATTAAACTCATTTACCGTTTCTTTTCACTTAGGTAGATGCTTATTCATGATAAAGACCTGTAATGTAGTTCGACTCGCTTAGTTGCTTATGTTTATTGCCGTTCCAGTTCAGTTGGCTGTAGGTCTGACCCAGAAATTTTGAATTTTGAATGCTATTTTATAAGAAACAGAGGAAATTATTTATCTCAGGAGAATGAATTACAAGCTAGAGAATAAGCTGTCCACACAAAAGGCCCAGAGCACTAGTCTACGAAGACTGGAAGGTTTTAGACAAAAACAAGAGACTCCTCTCAGATGGCAAAAATGAATCCTAAAAATTTTGACCCATAAATTAATTTTTTATATGCATTGGTTCGGATCTTTGCTTTTGTATCAATAAAACCACCCTTTCTCTTGTATCTGTTAGAGATATGTGACAGGAACTGTTGACTTGTATGGGTGGATGTGGATTTTGGACACTTATTTAACGAAATAAAATAAGAAAAAATAATGCGTGACTGCATTTTATGTGATTTTTTTATATTGCAGACTTCAGGAATTAGTTATCTTTTTGTATTGCATATAATATACTTCCTCAAGTTTCTATCTTATGTGTACAGCTGATGTGAACTACAATTGACTGACAAAAATACTCAAATGGAAATCATGCAGTTGATGACAGCATGGAATTCGAAAGTCCATCAAAGTTGGAAGCCGTGCAGCAATAGGAGTATTTCTGAAGCAGGTTTGAGTTTTATAGAGACAAATTAATTTTGTGTTTTAATTTAAAATTATAAGTTATCAAATGATCAAGTAATTGCATGTATCAGGATTTGCTAGAGTGGATAATACACCTTATAACAGACAAGTGAGAACCATATGCTAACTTTATAACACCAGAACCATCCAAAAGGTCAATAAACACTTCAACATTTCCATTATGGCTAAATCATTAGGCTCCTGTTCTATGGTAAATGTATGGTGAGGACATAAGGTTATGTCCTCTAGCGTGACAGTGAGGAAATTTTGTTTGAAATTGCTAGCATGGGAGCTAGAAATGGTGCGTGATCTTTCACTTAGTGCATTTCTCAAAACTATTAAGAAACTTGCTTCAAGATTAGGAGGTGTAGGTATCTCTTGATTTTTAAGGTCTTATAGTAACCATTCTCTAAGGGGTGTTATAGGAGGGTAATTAACCTCTAATCTCACGCTTTCATGCATCTTGGTACAATAACTTGGAGTTCTTCACTAATGTCACATCTTTGTAGATCTCTTCAAAACTGGACAAATAATTATTAAAATTGTAAGAGTCTTGCCTAAGATTGCCTCTCATTTGAGTCTTATGGTAAAGAGGGAATGTATATCTTCAAACTGAAGCTTCTTTTTATGCCCAAAAGGTGATATATTTAACATATTTAGGCCTCCCCAAGGTCTATGTTTTGTGGCCTATGTGCTATGGAAGGGCTATACATGTGACCTACCTTCTGTAGCAGTATTTGGCATGTTATGTTGGAAAAAGAATGTCTGGCAGCTGTAGCTTTGCTTTAGATTTCTATCTGTTTTCAATGTATTATTATTTTCAAAACAATGAGTCAAAATATATATATATATTTTTTCTATTTCTATTTATTATTGTGCTTGAGAAGCTATGGAAACTTACTGATGTTCTATGTTTTGAGTTCTCAGAATTGCCCAAGTCTAACGGTTTCCTTATAATTGAAGCTAACGGTGGGTTGAACCAGCAACGCTTATCAGTATGTTTTGGTTCTTAAGATAAATGCTCTTACTGTTCTTTAAGCAATATTGGAAGTAAAAATGCATGATTATTTTATGTCTATGTGTTCAATTCTCTTTCCATGCTTCCCCATGCAAGATGGACTAAAGGTTGTGCTTTAAGATTATACTGTATATGGTTCTCTTCATTAAAAATTGTATTAGTGCAATTCTTCAGTGAACTGGTGAACAATTATTATATTGAAATAAAATTTCTGGTTTCATATATATATATATATATAAAAGAAGACTTCTATGCCTTCATATGGCGCCAACCATGCCTTCAAGTTACCTGTCTTTTGTTTTAACTTTTCTCTGCTACCTTAATACAGATATGTGATGCAGTGGCAGTGGCAGGACTACTGAATGCAACTCTTGTCATTCCAATTTTTCATTTAAATAGTGTCTGGCGAGATTCGAGGTGATTGTTCTATTTTTGTTATTTAACTGTAAGGAGCTGTTCTTGCATGTCAGTGAACGTCTTGCTGTCTGTCTTTGGTGATTAGTTTTATGGATCCATATGTTAATCTAATTATTGTGCTTAGACTTGAAATAGCAGTTCTGGTTTGCTCAGAGTGTTCATTTTGGGGTTTAAGGAAACTGAAACCAAACTGACCTTGATTGGTTCTAATCATTTGAGACACGGACTGCACTGTTAGTAGAAAACAGAATCAATCATAGTTTCGTTTGGTTTCTTGGTTCCATAGATTTCTGCAAAGTCTCTTAATATGCATTTCAAATTTCCAACTTATCTGATATCTTGAACTATTTTCTTCATACACACATTTTTTTATACATTAATTTTTTGATACATTAAGAGGACAAGTAAAAGTTTGTTTATCAGTGGCTTCCTTTATTAACTTATTGACTACGATTTTATTTTCCTCTTCCTTTCGGGAATTTTTAATAATTCTGGCTCATTTGCATGTTCTTTTTTTGTTGAGCTCTTTGACGGATACCATTTTACTATTAGATAGTCCATTTAAACCTTGATGTGTTGACTAATAATTTCTTGTTTTTTCTTCTTACAACTATGCTGTTTCATAGTGCTATATCAATTGCTTTTCAAAATACAAATCAAGAGCATAATAATGCTATGGTCTAGCAAAAATATCATATGTTTTTCCTGCAATTATATGGTTGAAAATAATTGTGGAATTGTGTCTGCCCCAAAGCAGTATGAGGTTATTTGTATTATTTTCCGTAGTAAAAGTTATCTTCCATTGATTTTAATATATCTTACTTTACATCTTGCAAGATTCTTGAAATAGTTAGTTTGATTTTTCCTTTTTCTGATCATTTTCTATTTGGTGCAGCAATTTTGGGGAGATATTTGATGAAGATTTTTTCATACATGCACTTAGAAATAATGTGAATGTGGTCAAAGAACTCCCAGAGGATATACTTCAACGGTTTGACCACAATATAAGTAGCATTGTAAATTTGAGAGTCAAAGCTTGGTCTAGCCCAACCTATTATCTTCAAAAGGTCCTGCCAAAACTGCTGCAGATGGGGTATGCAGTTTAAACTTTATCTTTTATGTTGCTACTTCTCAAGAATAGGCCAAATTTCAGAGGGATTGTTTTCAACTTGCCTTGTGGTTTTGTCGATTCAAAACCCTCTTTATAGCAATAATATAATAATATATATTTTTCAGTTCAAATTAATATACGTTGCACGCTTCTGAATTGGAAGCCTAATATTGTATTATTATTACCGTTTGATATATATCAGAGAAGGAAAAAAATTCTGCTCATTTTAGCTTCACGTATTATATGACAGATAATTTTGAATTACATCATCATGATACGTTCAGTCATGCTCTAGATCTTCTGAACAGCTAAACAGTTATTGCATATAAAAAATGGGTTATAATTATCCTTTCACATAGTTCATGGAGTTCTTCTTATAATCATTTCACTTAATTTTGACTATTATCACAATGGTGCAGAACTATATTCATGCAAAATAAATTGGAGTATGCTAACGGAAAATGCAAAATTTAGACTGAAAATAAAGGGGATTCAATATATATGCCTCTTGTATGTGGAAGGTCTCATTTCTGACAGTGTTCTGCCACCTATTGAGAATGTAATATAATTGATTTATATGACTATATGCATAGACATAGATGAACACAAGCACTCACATGGTTTAAAAAACACACACAAGCAAATACACATTCTGATTTCATGAATGCAATTACGGGTTACTGTGCCTATCATTCACTACCTCACTGCAACTATTAATTATTCTCATTTCATGATGCAGGGCTGTCCGTATTGCACCTTTCTCCAACAGATTGGCTCATGGAGTTCCTTCAAATATTCAAGGACTTAGATGCCTGGCCAATTTTGAAGCGCTAAGATTTTCTGAACCTATAAGAATGCTTGCAGAGAAAATGGTTGATCGGATGGTTCAGAATAGCTCTCAAAGTGGGGGGAAATATGTTTCTGTGCACCTACGCTTTGAAACAGTACTAAACTTGTCTTTTTACTTTTCCAGTGATGCTTCCCAATGTTTTATTTCTAACTGTTTGTTTCTTCTTTGAAGGATATGGTTGCATTTTCATGTTGTGAATATGATGGTGGGGAGGAAGAGAAACGTGAAATGGATATAGCTCGAGAAAGAAGTTGGAGAGGAAAATTCAGGAAAAGAGGAAGAATAATAAGACCAGGTGCAAATCGTGTAGATGGAAAATGTCCTTTGACTCCATTGGAGGTATTAAATTATGATTCTCTTTCTCTTCCTTTACTGGGTTTGATAAATCTCTGTTATATCCTTAATTTCAAGTTAGGATCATTTTATGGGCTCACCATAACCAGCTTTTAAATCAATTATGATTCATATAAACTGGGATATCTGAAGTCATTTTACAAATCTATTTGTTATCATCAAAATCCAAACAATCATGTGACCCTGTGGTCAAATTAATCATGTGATTTATTGCCTTTTTGTTCTTTTTATTTTTCTTTCTTTTCTACTGCAAATTTAATTACACCAAGATTTTGATTTCTCCTTATTTTTACTCTTTAAATATACATCTATTTTTTGAAATCTAATAAGTCCTTCAGCAGGCACAGATCCTAAGTTCCTAACTTAATGTTCAACCCATGCCAAAACATCATGCTTAAAGGTCTCTGGGGCTACTTTTCCAAGTTATAATCAACACATATCTAAGAAATTCTGATCAACTTAAACCTTCAACTCATCAAATCTCAATCTTCAATTCTTCACAAGTCCTTAATATGACTTGCATTTTCTAGCATGCTTCTTAACACTTATATTTTGACAGTTAGACATTGTGATGGATCAGAATACTAAAAGAAACCTAAGTTATTTGACCTTAATACTCGAATGGTAGAAGATAACAATTATTTTATTGGACTGCTCAGTTTTAGTTCTTCACAATATATCTGTATCATTAATTTGCATTAATTCCAAACTCTTCTTGGATCACTTCTTAATTTGTTCATTTGCTGACACTAAATACTCATCTACAAAACTACAAACATTATCGGTCTACTAGCTCTTTTCCTTGGATTCCTTTACTTAAATCCAATGATGATTTCTGCAGGTGGGAATGATGCTTAGGGGCATGGGTTTTGATAACACGACCTCAGTATATGTTGCAGCTGGAAAAATTTATAAAGCTGAAAAATACATGGCTCCTCTTAGACAGATGTTTCCACGCTTAGAAACAAAGGATACTTTAGCTATCCCGGAAGAACTTGCTGCATTTAAGGTATCATATTGGCTCTAGTGCATGTTTTTTGAAATTTATATATAATTAATTATTCAAACTGGAAACTTGCCAAGATATTAGCACACAAAGAAAGATGGCAAATATAGGAACAAGTCAAGTCTTTCTAATACCCTAAATTTTTTATGTAGGGCCACTCGTCTAGATTGGCTGCTCTTGACTATACAGTTTGCCTACACAGTGAAGTATTTGTCACAACGCAAGGTGGGAATTTTCCGCACTTCTTAACGGGTCATAGGCGTTATTTATATGAAGGACATGCAAAGACTGTTAAACCTGATAAGAGAAAGTTAGCACTATTATTTGATAGCCCCAATATCAGGTACGTTGTCATCCATCTCATAAGTATATGCTCTTGGATTTGCAACTGAAAAATTTTGGAAATAGAACTAATTATTTTGTTGAAAAGATTTCATATTGCACGGTCATTTATCATTAATTAGAAGCATCTTATGCAAGTAAATTTATGTTTGTATATGATTCTGATCTGTTTTTTGGCAGATGGGATGACTTCAAGAAACAAATGAAAGATATGCTTTCCCACAATGATCAAAAGGGAATTGAATTAAGAAAACCCAGTGGGTCACTTTACACATTTCCCATGCCAGATTGCATGTGTAAAACCACCAAAACTAATACATTAACACAAACAAAACAAACTTGAAAATCTGAATATAGAATCTAGGGTTACCCGAAGTTCTTTTACATGTAATTTATGTTCCTTCCAATATTTGTTATATTCCAAATCTAATTCTTTCATTTCAGTTGAGAGAGAGTAAGTATTAGGTTTTAATTCTTTAAAATTGATTGATTCTGCTACCTCCGGTAGTTCACCACGCAAAATTCATTGTACATGATACAATAACAATTATGTGATAAAAATTTAGTTGTATTCAATAATACATAGGGTCATTTGGGATTTGATTTTTGGAAAGCTCATAATCTCCTCTCATTTTGGCTGGAGTTATAAAAGGAGGAGGTTTTTTTGTAAGATACTTTTTTTTTATTATTATTATTGTAGATTAATAAGATCTATGTTCATTAAAGTTTGAATTGTATGTTGATGCAAATCATGTGGATTATATGTTACACTTTGAAATTTTTAGAATGTTTATTATATAGATCTCATACCATATGCAATTTCATTAATTCTAAGGGTCATTTCATGTCTTTATTGAGAAAACCATATTATGATTTTAGTGGAGAATTTGTGCACATCTTGAACATTAATTATGTGAACAAATCTTTGGGATAGGATTTTGGTGGGTATATATATATATATATATATATTGATCTTGTAATCATGAAAATATAGAATTTTTAATCTTCCTAAGAGGTCATTCTAAGGGCAAATTCGAAGCATTGTGCAATTTTTATTTATTTATTTTTTTTTTTTTTTTTAAGTTTCTAGTATATTTTACTGTAGCTCCATGAACTAAAATACAATTCAGTTGTATAATATTAATCGAAGTATGCCTCAATGCATTATGTTTTGTAGTAGAGAACTTACAAATGAAGGTTGAAGCAAAATTTCGCTCATGGCCTTCTCCAAGCTTTTAGAAGATTCTTGTTCTTCGATACACTCCGCTCCAGTCTAAGAATATATATTTTTGAGTAAAATTCTTCCCAAAGGCAGTGGACTATGTTGTATTTATACTTGAGATTTCTAGGGTTTTACACATTACACCACCTGTCAGCTTCAGAAGGCCACATTCCAATGTAGTGACGGAGTCAGCAATTTAATTTGTTTCAGTGCTAGAAAATTAAAATAAAAAATTTGAAATATTATAAAATTAAAAACTCGAGGTACCAATTAATCATTAGAGAAAAAAATGATTTTGAAATTATAAAATATAGTGGTTGCTTTATTCATAAACTTTATACTCACTTATAAGAAGAAAAAAAAGAAAAATCGAAGCTTAACTATATAGAAGGTTGACGGAAAAGAATCAAAACAAAGACTTAAGTGCTTTCATAGAAGAAAGGAGGCATATTGTTAAAAGTACAAAATTGAAGGAAATTAATTGAATTTTGAATTTTCCTATGAGCCCCCAGTCAGCCCTTGCCCCTTAGTGGCTCCGCCTGTGGTCCAATGATGAAATGTGTATTCCGATGTAGATGTTGGTTGTTGATGACTTATTAAATAAAATGTCAATTCAGAATATCAACTTTTCAAAAGATTTCATATTTGAAACTTTTATCTAAATGTTTATATATATTTGTGAATAATTCACAAAAAGGCTTTATCGGAATTCTCATGTCAAATAGTGTCACATATACCTAAATAAATCCATTAAAACAAAACAAAAGCTCTAGTAAATATGAGATGTCAGATACAATCTTGCAGTGTAAAATAATTTAATTTCATTAGTGAACAACAGTTACTACCTTAATGTTATTGTAGAGATAATCTGCAAATCTAACAACCTAACAATCCACACTCAACACACACAATCAAAATTGTACAAGGAATCAAGAAACAAGAACATGGATTTTACCGTAGTTCACTTATCCAATATAGGATAAGCTACATCCCTGTTGAGCTCCAGAAACTCAGGGACTCACTGCACTAAAGATTAATCCAACACAAATACAAACAAATCCAACACCCAAACGATCATACACTGCGAATCTCTCTCTCATGATAACCAACAATCTTTCCTATGAGAATTCTATACTCAGATCCTAAAGACTCAAGGAAAACACAACCCTTAAACGTGATTACAATCAACCACCCAAGATTACAACCAAACAATGAGATACATAGTAGACCCTAACAGAGGATTTTCTAAGCTAAAGAACAGAATGAACAACTACGTTTTCTTCAGAATGGGTTGCTCGATCTATATTGTTTGAGTTGGGAAAATGCTGGCCGTCAGATGTTGATCTCTTTCAATGGTCTAGATTTTGTCTTGTGACAATCTGTTTAAAACGACAACGTTGAACTTAAAGTTCAACGACATCGTTTTTGTGCTTCACATTAATAGTTATCTATTTAAATCATGGAGGTTTTTTGAACAATTGAAGTTCCTCAAAACTTTTATAATATTCACATTGTACGGTCGGTTTTGTTATTATAGATGTTTTCACTTAGTAAATTATAAACATTGTAATCGTCAAAGGGATGGTTTGAGTTAACCCAAATGTTATCTTACCTAAGATTTTGATGATAACAAGACAAATAAACTTAATGCAACTAAAGATAAATGTAAAGTGCCAATTTTTCAGTGTTAAAAGCTTACATATAAACGAAAATTTCCCCTCTTCACTTTATTGATGCATTAAGACCGTCCAGTAAAATAATATTATGTATTAAGTTTTTTCTTCCATTAAACCGTCATCTTAGATTTACTAATAGTCACTTACCATCGTTTAGAAAAAACCACAACCATGATAGGCAATCTTAACAACTAAAGTACATGTGATTGTTTTAATAGGCGGTTTTACCACATGTATAAAGCGAGACAACGACATGATAAGATGGTTCTGTATTATGAACCTAGACTTAATTTGAGAGGCCTCGAATCTAGAACTTAGATTGGAACCCTTGGTCCTATTGGGAAATTATTGCATGGACCAATCTTTTAGCTTGTGGACCTAATGGACCAACAACAATATAAAGTTTGACTTGTCTAAGTAAAAAGGCTAATCCAAGGTCCTACTAAATTTTGCTGATCCCTTTAAGAGGTTACCAAATTCAATTGACCCACAGTGAAATCAGAGAGATTTAAAAAACAGCCCATTGTTAGTAATTATTTTTATTAAATTCAATAAAAGTCCACAAATTAATTCAAGTAAGGAGATTTACAAAACCTTAGACCAAAATATGTTATTGCTATGCGAACATGTACTATTACAAGAGGGATGTTCAATATCGATTCGACAATCCGTAACTTTCTTGAATGATATTCAAGAAAACGAGTCTTAGGATTTTATAACAGACATAAAAAGCTACCTACAAATGCTTTACATCCAATCATTTAGGATAATGCTTGTATTCTCTATATTATAGCAACTGTTGGCATAGAGTTAATGGATGTTTATTCCTTAGATCATTGCTTCTTTTCCGAGAAAAGAAATTCATAACCTGTGGGCCTTTTAGTCAAAACATATTGGCAAACATTATTAAAAAATAAATCAACCAAAATATTAACAAGTTGCAAGTAGAGTAGATTCATTGAGAATATCACAGGGGAAATTCTTAAAAATTTTGTCCTACTTTTTAATATTTTAAGATTATATTATTTTGTCATTTTTATTATCGTTTAATTAACTTGATCTATGATGTCTAGGTCTTTTGTGTATTTTCACATTCCAAACAAAATTTGAATTCAGCATTCTTTAACACTTATTACCTCTTGGGGGTATACTGTTACTTTCTGTAACATTGGGACAAAAAATAGCGGCCGAGGACCAAAATTTAACACTCGTCTTGTAAAAAAAGGGATTGTACATTGAAGACAAACTGACAACAATGCCCTAGAAAACAGCACCAATAATTAATTAGCTTAACAAAGTATCAGAGGACATACGAGTAAAAACAAAAATTACACGTGGGCCAAAATAACTCTTTCTTTTCAACCCACAATTTGGAAATTTAACATGGCCACCCCAAATGGTAGCAATCCACCCACCATCAACTTTAACATATAAAGGGCAATATAAGCCATTTACAATCAAAAGCAATAAATCTCAAGCGAATAGGGGTTGATTGTCTTTCCACTAAACTTGGAGATGATATTGTAATAATCCTTAGTTAGAGATGGTCAAATTTAAACGGATATTTACAGAAAGTAACATCAAGAAAGCTAGTGTAAATATGGAGTGTTAATATTGCCATCCCAATCCACCGTTAACTATAACATATGAAGGGTATATAAGTCATTTATAATTAAAGCTATAAATCTTGAGTGATTAGAGGTTGATTATCTTTCCACTAAACCTCGAAGATGATAATGGAGACAATTATTAGTAGGGATGATCGGTTCTAGATATCCTACAGTTAAACGAATGTAGATAAAAGAAACAGTAAGACTAAGAGTACTGGTGTTAAATGTTAATTATGGAAACATGTAAGGTGGTTAAATGTTAAAATCCAAACATGTAGATCCACTAAAGTTAGGCTTAGCAATGTAAATACCGAAAAATTAAAAATAATAATAATAATAAGTGAATTTGGAAAATAAAAGAAAAAAAGAGCCCAGAAATGTGACGTAAAAGTAGAGCTACCTACCAAATCCAAATCCAGCTCTATCTCCCTACTTCTCACCAACTTTGGTCAATTCTCCATCCAAAATTTAATTGCATGATCCGTCTCTCTCCTCATATAAATCTCTTCTTCCATTTTAATTCCTTCACTTTTCAACCCAAATCTCTCTCGCCCTTTTCTATCCATTATCACCCCTCTTCCTCTTATCCCTTTTCCTCATCAAAACTTATCCATTTCCCTCACTATTCCATCCTTGTACTTTTTATAATTCATGGGACGTTCACCTTGCTGCGAAAAGGCTCACACCAACAAGGGCGCCTGGACCAAAGAAGAAGACCAGCGACTCATTGAATATATTCGCGTTCATGGTGAAGGCTGCTGGCGTTCTCTCCCTAAAGCTGCTGGTAAATTGTCTAATTCATCAATGAATCAATTAGGTTTTCATTTGTTTGTTGGTTTTTTTGTTAATTAATTAATTGTGTTTGAATTTTATATTTGAAGGGCTGCTTCGATGTGGGAAGAGTTGCAGATTGAGGTGGATAAATTACCTTCGACCTGATCTCAAGCGAGGAAATTTCACTCCTGAAGAAGATGAACTCATTATCAAACTCCATAGCTTGCTTGGAAACAAGTACGCCCCCTTCAATTCCTTTTCTTCTTTTCCATTTCAATTTTTCTATAACCTCTTCTTCTTTTCCATTTGTTGTTAATTAATTAATGGTGTTCGAATAAAATTAAAGAGTAGATTTTTTTTTTTCTTTTATAAGCTATGCTCGAATAATGGGAACGAGTTTTTTACTGGGAAAATTTTGATGGGCAGGTGGTCATTAATTGCTGGAAGATTACCGGGAAGAACGGACAATGAAATAAAGAACTACTGGAACACTCACATCAAGAGGAAACTAATAAGCCGCGGACTCAACCCTCAAACTCACCGCCCACTCAACGAAAACTCGACGCATTTGGACTTCAACTCACCGCCTCACGATCTCGCTCTTCCTCTCAGGAAAACAGAATCCATTGAAGAAAACAACTGCACCAGCAGCGGCACGACAACCGACGAAGAACAACAACAACAACAGCAGCAAAAACGGAAAGAAAATTATGGGCAAGAAAAGTGTAATCAGAAGCTGAATTTGGAGCTCTCCATTGGTGTTGGTCCGACTCAATCTGAGTTGACTCGGGCTTCTTCAAACTTTGCGGAGTCAAAACAGGGGGTTGAAGTTCATTGTAATTACCAGTTTCTTGAGGTAAAACAGGGTGTTTGTTTGTGCTGGCAATTGGGGTTTCAGAGAAGAGAAGAATTGTGTAGAAATTGTACTCAAAATTCTGCTGGACTGTTCAGATATTGCAGCCCTTTAGATTCTTAGTTTTTATTTTTTATTTATTATTATTATTTTTTATGAATTGATATTTAAGACAAGATGCATTTTATCACCCTCGTACAAAAGATATTATATATTTTGACTTGTACAAATTATTTTATTATTTATTTGTTTACTTTAGCGATATATTGAGCAAAACTTATAAATGGGTTCTTTAATTATAAGATCAATTAATTATGAAATAATTTTATTTAATTTTAGGTAAATTAAGGGTGAAAATATATCAAATTAAAATTTTAATATAAACTTTTATGAAGTTGTTGAGTTTTGAGGACATTAAATATTTACTTTTTTAAATTTACTTATTTAGTTTTTACTATCAGAGATTAAATAAAATGAATTATTGGGGAATTTTAACACATTTTTAATTAGAAAATTTTCTATGAAAATATCTCAACTCTATAATTATCATACAATAAATAAAATCCATAATCTTCTACTTTGAAATTATAATTAAGCATAAATAAAAAATCAAACCCAACCAAAAAAAAAGATGTTGATTCTATAAATGTTTTCTATCTTGAAATTATATAGCATATGTTCATATAGTAAATTGATATTTTTAAAATGGCTGGAAAGATATCAAAAACTCGTTTAAAATTCAATCACATGGGATTAGTTAAAAACACATGCGGCTTTGTTTTATTGCCAACTTCTTTTACGCTCAACAAAACATCCTCCTCAGTTTCTGTCTCCGGCGCCTCTGGTTTTTCCAAAACTTTTGTTGACTTTTTAAATTGTTAAAAGTATTTCTATAAATTTTATCAAAAACCCTTACAATTTCTCACCATATAAAGATATCAAATCTACGCTCATTTTTATACGAAATCGAAATGAACATCCAAATCTTTGAATATATTTGATAAAATTAGTTAAAATGTTTCAAAAACAGATTTCAAATATAATCTAAACGACTAAATTATATAGAAATTTTGTTTTTCAATATCAATGTTACCCATATCTTTTTTTTTTTTTTTTTTTTTTTTTTTTTTGATATCCGAAGGTGTTTGGGCCAGCTTGTCCGTACACAGTTCAACTACTTTCCTGAGACCGTAAAGTTAATGTTTAAGCAAATCTCCAGTGACTATCCGTTATTAGTAGTCATGATATTCAACTCATGAAATTTAAGTAATACATTCAAGAGTCAAACGAACTGTCAAACTATCTAAGATGTGTCGTTAACCAATATCATAAGCAAATCCATATTTCTAAAAATATATATATATGGATTATGAGATGAAATGGTAGAGAATTTATTAATTAAAAAATGGGAGAACCATTTTTTCCACCCAAGGTTTGGCAAAACGACACTTCCCCACCCATCAATTTCAAAATGACACTTTCTCACCCTTGTATGGTTCTGTATATTTTTCTATTAATATTTTACTGAAAAAACAAAATCCTTTAAATTTTACTTTATATTTTTTTAATAGCCAAAAAGTCAAGAAAGAAAAATAGTTAACCACACCTAAAGTTAGGAATAATGCTTTGGAATTATTTAAGTTAAGATCATATTTTTAATTATTCGTCAATATTTCATCACTATTATTTATAATGTTTTTTATTTTTACTAATTAATATAGAAAATTAATATTCCTAATTAATTAAATACAGAAAAAAATGTATTATATACACTTGAACTAATAAATAATCGAATAAAGACTTTGACTTAACTAAATTCTAATTTATATAAACTATTTAAGTGTATTTCGTCATTTCAATTAAATATACAGAAACACTAATAAAAACTAATGAACAGTGGAAAAGCATCGTTTGTCAAAACATTGGTGGAAAATATTATTTCTCCTCAAAAATAAGAAGCCACGTGATGGGTATGTTAGCATAGGTTCCAGTTCCACCAGAATGACGGATCTCTATCCACCATCTCAATAATTCAACTAAAATTATCTTTGTGTTCGATTGAGTGAGGAATAACGACTTTGACTTAACAAATTTTAATTTATAATAAACTATTTAAGTGTATTTTGTCTTTCAGTTAAAGATTACAGAAAACATTATAAACCTAATGAACAGTGGAAAAGCATCGTTTGTCAAAACATTGGGTGGAAAAATATCGTTCTCCTTCAAAATAAAAGCCACGTGATGGTATGTTAGCATAGGTTCCAGTTCCACCAGAATGACGGATCTCTATCCACCATCTCAATAATTCAACTAAAATTAATCTTTAGTGTTCGATTGAGTGGGATAACGACTTTGACTTAACTAAATTTTAATTTATAATAAACTATTTAAGTGTATTTTGTCATTTCAGTTAAAGATTAACAGAAACATTAATAAAACCTAATGAACGTGGAAAAGCATCGTTTGTCAACATTGGGTGGGAAAATATCGTTATCCTTTCAAAAATAAGAAGCCACATGGTGGGTATGTTACATAGGTACCAGTTCCACCATCATGACGGATCTCATCTACCATCTCAATAATTCACGAAAATTAATTTCTCTATCCACCATCTCAATAATTCAACTAAAATTAATTTTTAGTGTTCGATTGAGTGAGGAATAAGAACGAAAGAAGAAAAAGGTGTTATGGTGTGATTCCCTCTGATTTTATCAATTAATTAATTAGTTTACTTAACACTTCAAACTCATTATATTTTTCACTTTACAAAATGATCCAATTCATTTGGTTTATCTTTTAAAGCAATTCTTTAAGTGAAATGTTCTAAAAAATAAATTCTTTTCATAATATTATTTCAAATTAAATACTAAAAAATATTGAAATATTTTAATTTGTATACACGAGATATTTTAAATTATGTTTGTCTTAATATGTCGTATATCATTTTTCTTATTTCACCCTCATGCATTTCTTTTTTTTTTTTTTTTTTTTTTCGCTTTGAAAATATTAATGAAATTATTTATAGGAAGTCAACTAAGGACACTTGTCCAAAAAATAAAATTAAGAAAAGAGTGAAAAGGAATTCAGAATCTTTTTAATTGGGGGGAACATGTTGATATGTTTGGAGGTAGGTAACCGAATCTCCATTTTAATATTGTTAACAAAATGAGGACAAACACTTGTACGATTAAAGTGGGTCATGTTTAAATAAGTTTTTTTTCTTTTTTAATATAGAATATCATGTTATCAATATATTTTAGATTAAAAATAATTATTTAACCTTTTTTCCGCCTTAAAAATGAAAGAATAAAAAGAAATCTTACAGAATATAAAAAGAATCTATGAATACATATTTGATTAAATGTTTTTTCAAATCAGTTTTGAATACAATATTTTAAATTTGTTATGTTGTAACTTATCTAATTTATTTTTAAATTTTATAAACACTCACTATTTAAAAAAAATATATTTATTTAAGCTCTATCACTAAAGGTTTTATATTTTTATTGATTTTTTTTAGTAATTGTAGAATATTTAATAATCAAAGAGGTTTGTAATACTTTCTGAAAATATTGACCTCTTGGATATTATATAAACTTTTTTTCAAATTCATAAATATCGAAATATTTATAAATTTATTTAAATCATAAATTGAACAAAACTCTTTATATTTTATTTCAAAATTATCTAATATCCCATCAATGATTGAATAAAAAAATAAAAAAATACACAATCAACAATAATTTTATGGGTAAAATTTAGAAAGGAATTAGATAATACCTAACTGCTGTGAACACTTTGCAATGACATGTGCTAATCCAGCGAAGTCTTGCAATGCAATTGGCAGAAGGATGCTTTGCTGTTACTCTTGCTTTAATTTTATACATCAAATGTTATTGCTTAGTTGTAAAGTATAACAACTTATAACTACTATGATAAATTTTCTCTCTTCTTATACAAAATGTCGTTAATTGAACTTGCACGTTCCTCTTAATACACATTCATTATCCTAAATTAGAGGTTGAAATCTCACTACTATCTTACAATCATATAATATAATCGGAATGGGTTAACACTTTTAAGGCCACAATGAACCCACTTTCTTCTTTTATGATCAATTAATAATAGCCATCGCTTTAAGTTACTAAAGAACTTTATTTATAGTGGTTCTATACTTCTATTCCACTTCTTATTTTTAGGGAATTATAACACTTAACCATCAGCAAATAGCTCATTTTAATCATGAATAACATTACTAGTAGGATAACGTTAACTCAATAACACTCGACTGTTCCATCATAAGTTACTGAAGAGCAACAAGAGATTATATTGCATAGACTTCATTCTCATTCTCATTCCAATCCATGACAGATATAAACTTCGAGTTTATTTCATAACGCTCTTTTCATAGTACCTCTATCCTATACCTCATTTAACAAAGAATTGAATATGCTACTATTAATCAACTAGCGATTACCTTCTATTTAAATTGAGATAGCATTATTATCAACATACCCACACCAATGATTTCCTATCGTATGATCTCATGAGATTGAGAGAGAGAAGAGAGAGAGAGGAGAGAAGAGAATGGGACAAGCAATGTGACAGAAAGGCACAAAAATAAAATAAGATGAAAAAAGATAAACACAAATGAGGTGCAAAGAGACAAGCCACGTGAGAGAGACAAAGAGGAAGAGTTTGGTAGAAGTCGGTAGCTTTAGCTTTAGTGACGTTTCATTTCTACAATTTTTTGCAACTAACTGCGTCGCTTCTCCAATTCTGGGCTTACTTTATAATATAATGGCCTAATGCGATGTAATGCAACCCAATTGGCTTCTAGAACGCAAGCAAGACCCACGTTACTCTACCTAACTTTGCCTTTCCAGCCTAATTATTCAATAATTTATTCATTTAAATCTATATCACATGCGAAGGAAAGTTTATCGACTATTTCTCCAACTAATCCTTCAGCTATTTTCCAAACACATAAGTTTTGGATTTTGAATTATCCTTTTTTTTATATTTCTTTATTTAATGTCAAATTCAATATATGGTTATTATCATATACTTTTATAAGATTTATTTTATTTTCTAACATTCACGGCTATTGAAAAGTATTCATATCATGGACTTTTT